ATTAAATTTTAGTCTGCTGCATGTTTTCTGATTTTTCAATGAGTTCCTAAAACTGTTAAAAACTTGTGCATATAAAATATGAACTCAGTTTTAAAAAATATATAAAAACGGGGAAAAAAGGTGGGGGAATAAAATTCTCCGTTTTCTGATGAGGAAAGGGGAAGGAAAGAGTTCGCGGAATTTCAGATATGAAATTCCGAAAATGTCTCTTTACAGTTTTTAGTTACCGTACATTCAACGGCTAACAAAAATTCACAAATTAAGTCAATTTTTAATTACCGAAATGAAATTCAGAAATTAGCCGCTGTGTCTTACATTATATAAATTTTTTATATAATGTATCATTAACAAAATGAACATTACCTCAAAGCAAACCAGCCAAAAAAAAAAAACACGGATAGAAAGAAAAGCCGGGTTTTGTTGTAAAATTACCAATGTGCAAAAATTTAATAAAAATGCAAGATTGAAATAATGGACCATCATTGCTGAAGACGATTACTTAAATTCTAAATCGATTATTTACTCATAAAAATAATGTAAGATAAAAATAAAATAAAGGGGATTTTCTGCCTCCATTCATCACATGATAAGAGCGCAACTGACCAACTGTAATTGGGTCAATTATCCTCCTTCCTCATGTCTCTCTCTCTCTCTCCGCCCTTCATTTCTTTACCCTTTTTAATAAAGGCTGTAAAGTTTATAAACATTTTTGTAATATAGAATATATATGTAAGTAATATTTTTTAAAGAAATAAATACAGGTCTTATTCTGGTATGAGAAAGTCACGACTAGTGCCGGGTTTGATAAAGTCAGGCAGGAAAAAAAAGGTAAAGATGATTTTTACCAGGTTTCACATTGCAAAAAAAAAAAGAAGGACAAAGTATTTTTAAAATTATCAACAGAGATAAAAAAAAATACAAACAAAAATTGAATTACCGCAAAAAAAGCTATTGATTCAAATGTAACGAGGTACAATAGATAAAAATTGGTCAAAATTTAATAATTATTATGAACACTTTGACAGACAAAAAAAAAAATCATTTTTTTTAGGAAAAAAAAAAAAAAAAAAAAAAAAGGTAATTTTGCGAATATTTTTTTATGCTTTCCTTTAATAAAAGAATGTCAGTATGATTTTTTTTTCAAAAGCAGGGGAAAAGAGTGAAATATAGTTTTCCCCTCCATCTGACTTAGCAGTTCTTATGTTAAGTATAAGTAGGTTGGATTGAAAAGAGAGAGAGAGTGGGTGTGTACGAAATATGACAGTTATGAATCACAAAGTAGCAATGATCAGCCTATTTAACACGCTCATTCTTCTAAGACTACATTGGTCTAACGAACCACATGAAATTAAGAAGTGCTGTTTATCTGTATTATTCATCATAGTAACCATACAGAAAAAAATAAAATTGCAATCCATATTGTACACTTGTTTTTATAATCTTTTTTTTTTTTTTTTTTAATGCGGGTGTACATAAAACTGTCAACACTCAAACAACAGCAATTTAAGAAATATCTTGAATTCTTGTAATCTACTAGCAAACGAGTGCGGTCTTACTTAACAAGAGGAATTCTTTGTGGTTATTTATCAGAAGAAGCTTCTCTATTTAGAATTTACTACGAAAAGAGAACAGCATGGGTTTTTTGGTCGGAAGAAATAGTAGCCACAAACTGGGACTAGTTTATATCCCCTCCCTACTGATGCTTTATTTACTATTACTTTTTTTTTTTAATGAAAAGTAAACGATACAGTTTTAAATTAGTCAAGCTTTGCATCAATAAAGCGAAAAATACAATTACTAATTTAGTACTGAAGAATTTCAAAGCTTTACGGAAATGAATTTATTTTAAAAATGCATGTCAAATGAAGCTGATTTTTCCTACTTTTGTGTTTCCAAAGGTTCACGTGACCAAACATCCAGGTTTAACTAAAAAAGTTGTGTATATGATTTTTTTATTATAGTTTAAAAATTAATAAAATGTGTTATACTTCACGATCTGCAATGTAAAAGAAAAATAAAAGAATAAGAACTAAAAATCAATACCCACATTTTTCCTACATGCGTAATCAACAGCCTTGCCTTTTTTTTAAAAAAAAAAAAAAAAGGATTTTTATGTCAAAAATTTAAAAATACTTTCATTTTCATCCTTGAACTGAAAAAAATATCTTACTATAGAACTAGGTGAAAAAACAGTTGGTTAAATTAATTATTTAAATAAATAATAATATAATCAACAAAAAAACTTAGTGAAAGTAAAAAAAAGTAAACAAAAAAAAGGAAAGAATGTATTTTTTTAATTAATACCAGAACTATGGATTTTTTTTGTTTGTTTTTTTTTTATTATTTTTAGCTTTTTTTTCTCTCCGTGAGGATTTATTCTTAAAATTAAATTGACATTCATTGAATGATTCAAAAATACCAACGAAAAAAAAAAAAAAAAAAAATGAAGGATTTTGAATAAAAAACAAAAAATCGTAAGTTTTCCCAAAAGTTATTTTCTTGAAGGAGCTTCAGATCTCTAATTAAATAACGACCGATTTAAAAATAAATAAATAAAGCATTCTTGAGGTAATTAACTACAATAACTTCTTTTTTTTTTTTACAAACTATTAAAAATCGATTGTAATTTGAATTGAAGAAAAAACATTTCAATGTGAAGAAGAGACATTTTCACAAAAAAAACAAAAAACAATTGAACGATAATTGTCTTTTTTTGTTTAAGAAACTAGACTACAAGATACAGATTAATTTTATGGTCGTAGGTATTTTTTCATCGATTGTGAAATTTGCATTTTTCATTAATAATTTAATTTAAGTAAAAAAGAAAAGTGAACAATTGATGCAAAAACAAAACGAATTTCAACTTAAACCAGCAACAAACATTTTCTGAAATTTGTTTTTCTTTAAAAAAAATTCTTGAAAAGTTTCGCAAATGAAGATATATTGAGTTGAGATTAATTAATTAAAAAATATCGTTGCAGAAATAATTAACGAAGATTTCAAGGGAAAAAATTAAGATTAACATGACCAAAAGAAATAAAAGTAAAAGAAAACCGTCATCAAAACTAAATTTCGAACCTTTCACAAACAGAATTTTGTTTTTAAATTTTCTAAATTAAAAAAATAAACTGGGTTAGGTCACAACTAAACTGCATTTTTAGCATAAAAATTTTCCTATTTTTTGTATTGACAAAAAAAAATTGAGTTAAAACAAAAAAAAAAAAGAAAGAAAGAAAGAAAGATACTTACTTACTAGGCAAACTTAAACGAGAACAAGAATTCCCTGAGGATCGAACTCACTATCAATGGTCTTAGAGATGAGTTTGCTAACTCTTGCTCGAAGTCAATGTGTACAAATGGTAATTTTAAAAGTAAACTGAATTCGTTTTTAACTATTCTTTTTATGTGTGCAAGAAGAGAAAACATTATTCAGACTCGTATATCCACAAAAAAGTAAAACTAAAAATAGTGTTGAGTTGAAAGAGAAAGTTACTCACAAAAAGTTGAAAGATTTAAAAAAAAAAAATACATGTGAATGATTATTTTTATTCAAAGATTATAAACAATTTAACTTAATTTAAGGAAAGAAATAAACATTTTTAAAAGAACCCAGAAAAATAATTATGTTTAATTAATAGTTAGAAGAACAAAAAAAAAAAAAAAAAAAAAAAAAAAGTGGAAATTGAAGGAAAAATTACTATGAGAGCAGAAATAAAATTTATAGCAAATAAGTTATGAAATTAAAATATAGATTTAAAAAAAAAAAAAAAAAAACTAACGAGAATTTGAAGTAAAAATACACCATAACGTTTCATATTTCCAGAAATGCATGTAAAACCATTCCTCCGAATCGGAAGCACAGACAAATTAATGGAAAGACAAGACAGAAAAGAATATGCCAGGAAAAGTGTTAAAAATATATAATAAAAAATAATCTTTGTAAAATAATATACAAGGATTGAATTATTTAGAGACTCTTTACATCTTGAAATGAAAAATAACCTATAAAAAAAAAAACTTTTGACAGGATTACAACTTTTACTTCCTTTCCAAGTTTAAAGGAAAATGCAAACTAAAATACTTTTTTAGATTTTTCTTTTAACCACTTCTTGATTTTAACGCTTAATTGATTTCAAATCAAAATCAATTTAAACTGCATTAGATTTCCTATTTACTTAAGTTATGAACAAAAAAAGAAGGGAGAAAGGTGGGGTCCAGTCACGTGACAATTCTACCGAAAGTGGATTTGTTCAGAAGTTATTTCCTTTCTTTTTTTTTTTTTACTCCTAATCTTAAATATTTGTGTATTCATTGGAGGTGTAGTCGATCGTTAAAGAAAGAAGAAATAAAGATGTTTCTTTGATGATTATTAATTTAAAAAAAATAATTTAAATAAAACTTTGTTTAAAAGATGCAGCTAAAAGTTTTAAGAAAGGTGTGTGTGTTTTGACTTTTGACGTATTAAGAAGCAAACTAAAAATAACGATTTAAAACTTAAAAAAGAGGAAGAACATACATTTCAATAGTACTTCTTAGAAGAGGAAAGTGACAAAAAAAAGGCGGTGCTTCTTTCAAAAGATGATAAAAAAAAATTATAAAATATGACAAACATTAAAAAAATGGAAAGAAAGAAAATATAAATGATGAATAGGCTATTTTTAACAGAAAAACTAAGTTTAAAGAAAAGACAGCACTTTGAATAATAATAATAATAATAACGACCCGGAATCATAAGATGAGTATTATTATTATTATTTATTTATTTATTTACTACTACGATGACATTACCATTGATTGTTGTTGTTGTTGGTATTATTATTATTATGCGAACAATAACGAGGATAATACTGGGACTAATTGAAAGGATTTCTTTCAATGGTTTTCACTTACCTACGTCTACATGATTCCCTGCTCGGAGCTGTTATTCAGCAGATAAATTTCTAACAAAGAATCCACTCAACAAAGACAGGTTTCATGTGGTAAATTCGCCACAGCTCCGATTACCCAACATGGCGGTGTTCCATTGTCTCAATGAGGAAAAGAGCACCGAGACCAAGGGACGTAACTGCGTATTTGTTAGGCTCTATGGTTATAGTAAAGGACTAGAGAAGTATAATATTCAATACTGGGATGAGCATATACTTGTTCCCACCAACTCACCCAAGATACAACCAGAGACTCATTGTAGTCACCAGAGTTCATGAAAAACCTAAAATATACTTATGAAATAAAAAGCATTTCGAATATTATTAACTTTTCAATATATATATATTGGGATGGCCATTGTCAAATGATGACTAATTTTATGAGGGCATTATAAATGTAGTGTGTTGGATTCTCACACGGGAGCCTAGTGCCAATCTAAGCTAAGATTAGTATGACAAGGTGCCTACCACAGAGCAATGGTTAGCAAATTAGCTTTACAGGCAGTAGCTGTATACTGATTCCTTCCCCTCACTGAGTTCTCTATTATAATTGTCTTGTACTAGGTTCACTGAGTAAATAGCTAATGGAGTAATGGATAGCAGCTCAGGTTAAGGAATCAGAGAGCTGAGTTCAAATTCCAGTTGAATCCATTACTTTCACTTACATGCTAATACCCTTGGGGAAGGTATGAATCCTCTTCTTCTTCCCCCAGCTACGGGTAAATATCAGGACAGACTGGGTTCTATAGCCTTGGATGACAACTGGCCTACTGCAGAAAGAAATGGCAACCTACTGCAAAAAAATCTGCCTTGTCAGTCATGTATTGAAAGAAACATGATCGCCTAAGCATACATGACACATAACTAACTGAATGATTTTTGGTTAGAGCAAAATATTTGTAGTTTATCCTAAATTTATAAAGTTTGGCTTTGTATGGCACAAGATAATGTAGCAATTTTAGGCCTCAAGAACAGCAGGATTGGCTGTAGAGGAAATGTATAATAGCAGAGGCAGCTGACACTGTCACCCAGAGGTATGTTGAAACATCTCAAATGATAGATTATAATAAAATTATTATACAAAAAATATATTTATCTGGGCTTAATCTCCAGAGAGTAAAATTGTAGCAGTAGTCTAATTTAAATACATGAAGAATGGAGACTATAAATAATTTAAATATGTGAAAAGTGGAGATTCTAGAAAAGGACATAAAAAAATTTCAATATTCTGTTTGTGTGACTACTTACTATGATATAGTACTTTAAAGCAACAATTTTTGCACTCAAATCAAAATCAATGTGAGTAAGCCCACCAAAAATACAAGTAGCACAAGCAAGTGCTCAGAGGCCAATGTAATATATTAGATGACATTATAAAAATTTCTACCTCTGTCTCCCTAACTTGTGTTGAAGCATCTAAAAAAATAGAACTGTAACAGAATTAGTGTGCAAAAATATAAATACTAACCTTGTATGAAAAACATTTCTCTTCACCAACATATGAATCCTGCTGAGGATCCAAGGTGGGCTCAACCTTAGGGCCCACCTTTCAGCAGCTTGATTATAATTAAAACATATTGTATGAATAGTGATACAATTCAAGTAACCAGATGTTTGTTACAGTAGCAATCTAATACAAATATGTTCACAGGAAGAAAGTGAGGTCCTGTTCATATTTTCACAGGAAGAAAGTGAGGTCCTGTCCATACTTTTGTGAGACCACAGCTATCAATCCCCATTCCTGTGATTTATAATGATGGATTTTGCAGTCTCTACTGCTCACAAATTAGCAGATCATATGTCACATGCCTGTGGCTTTCTGGCATGATGTAGAGGACTTGTTGTGGTGGTATATTGGTCCACAAACAAACAGTGAATCACGGAAGACAGCAACAAACAAAACAAAGACTTGAGTAAAAAAATATATTGCCAAGTTTATTTTCATTAAAGAAAATACATCAACAAAAATAAGGCTAAGGTGCAGTAGGCAAAACATATCTCTGCATGTTCATGTAGAGGGTGAGAAGAGCAGTTTTGGTAGTCATTGAAAAGTGTTGTCCTGAAAAGGACAGTTTTGTAGTCACTGAGAAGCATTGTCCTGAAAAAGACAATTTAGTAAATTGGAGCTGCAGCTGATGATGGCTGGCTGGCTAGCTGGCTGGAGCTGTGGGCTGGCTGTCAGCTGCTAAAACAGATACAACACTTTGATCCTAGTTATCTGGGCAGAACATATTTTTCAAGCTTTTAGGCCTCTTTATATCTTGAATCAGTTTTACACCAATTTCTGGTTAAGCTTTTCCTTCCAGTTATTTTTTTTAAAATGTGGGAGTGCTGACAGGATACAACAGGCTCTTCAACTATTTTATTCTTTGACTGAAATGTAATATCTTTGTTTTCCATACTATTAATAAAAACCCAACACATGGTCAGCATTCTGCAACTTCATATGCAGATACAATGTTGCTTTGTAGTCATTGTGATTCTGTGTATATTCATTCATAGTCTCCCTAACAAAGTGTCTCTTATAGGAGTCAGTTGAACTAATCACATATAATCCCATACATGTCCCTTAAAATAGATAATTTTTGCCTTTATCTTCACATTGATGTGCGACTGCTTTCTTGCATCCCAAGATTCTTTCATTCTCTTAAAACCAGATGCTCCTAACACTAATGTTATAAACATGCATGTGGTATCAGGGTAGAACAAATGAAACAATAGTACCACCAGTGAGGTGAAAGGAAAAGAAGACAAGATTGTATAAAAATCTTTTGTATTGCCAATACAGTGGATGCAATCAGAGTGTCTCAGTGTAGGCAAGGTGTGGCAATTTTGAATACAAGTAGAGTTGGTAAGGCCTGGAGTAGATGTGTTTGGTGGATCAGTTGACCAAGATCATGGTGGGGATGTCAACAGAGACCTGAAGTGGATAAGTGAAGCTTGATGTTTGCCACAAATCTGAATTTGCTAATACAGAGCATGCAAGTAGAATGTTACTGAGAGCATGGTGTGGGTGTTTGGTGTAGGGTGGGTCTCAAGCAGATATGTGTGTCAGGCGGGTTGACCTAAGCCAAAATGATGATGAGCTGAATGTTGACAGCTGGCCTGTTAGCTGCGTTCTGCTGGCTTCTTTTTTAGTCGTTTATAAGCAACTTTCTTAAAAGAAAATCTAGTGGCTCCTGAGCTCATCATATTTTGTTTGGAGGAGGGTGGGTCTCAAGCAGATATGTGTGTCAGGTGGGTTGACCAAAACCACAATTATGATGCCAAGAGACTGCTGAGCATTAGCAGCTAGCCTGTTGGCTGCATTCTGTTGGCTTCTTTTTTAGTTGTTTATGAGCGGCTTTCTTAAAAGAAAATCTAGTGGCTCTTGAGCTCATCATATTTCTTTGGATGCAATATTTATGATTGACTTCTTTTATGTTGCATTTTAGATTTTTGAGCAGATTCGCTTTGTGATCTGGATGTGATGCTCAGAGCCCCTGTGCAAAGGACGACTTTTTTATTCTGGGTTTTCCTTGCTTAGCTCTCATAATTGTCTGACATGTAGTGTGAGTCAAAAAGAGATCTAATTTGCAGCAGAGTATAACACTGACAAGTGACTCCAAACCCAGGATTTGACTGTTATTATATCATGTAGAATGGGTTGATATAGTACAATACAGGAAAAGAATGCAAAATAAAAACATCTTTATTAGGTTGACCAACTTACTTAATCATGTCAACCCCAGGCAAAGCAGACCACTAGGAGAATTTGGTGAATTTTAGTTATACAGGGTTCACTTGCTCTCACTAAGTTAATCTTGTGTTCAATACTCGCTGGTTCTGTTTCCATCATTTATTTATGGGTTTTAATTAAGATTTTCTATTTTCTCAAAAGGTGTATGACAAAGACGTGTTTTCTCATCACATTTGCTCAACCTTTACAGCTAGACAAGCCTAAGAGAACTACCAGGATTTATTTTTGGTGTGCATAATCTTAACAACATAAGATATACAGATGACACCATGTTGATGGCAGACAGAAAGAAAACTACAGGAATTCCTATTTAAAGTAGTAAGGGAAAGTAGGAAGAAAGGACTAAGTGTGGATCGTCAGCAAGAGAAAAGGTCCAAGATGCAAACTATGAATTAGAGAAACCAAAATCAAAAAGTGCAGAAGCTTAAATATCTGAGAACAGATGATGAAAGATGTGAAAGAGAAAATCCTAATAGGCATTGGAATAGCAAAAGACATCTTCCAAAAATTAAATGAAGTATTAAGAAACAAGAAAATCTTTTTTACTTTATTAAAAACAAAGAAAAGAAGGCTTAACTGCTATGTAATATCACTTGTCCTATATGGCAGTGAATGCTGGACAATTTCCTCATAGATCAAGAGGAGATGAAGCAACAGAAATGTGGTTCTACAGAAGGATACTGAGAATACAATGGATATAGTATGTGGGCAATAATGAAGTTTTAAGGAAAATGAGGAAAAATAACTATAGAATCAGAAAGAAACAGTTGAAATTTCTGGACATTTAATGAGGAAAGAGGTTTTGGAGTATTTGATATTCACAAGACATATTGGAGGCAAGAAGGGCAGAATGAGATGGTGAATATCATTCTTAATGTGAATTTTGTTAATGGTTAGTGTGACTAAAAAATACAAACATTACTAAGAATTACAAAGGCAAGGAAATTGTGGAGAGTTATGATTACCCATATCCTGAAGGTATATGTTATATAAAAGAAGAATATCATTATGATTATGAATCGTGCAGTAATCAAGACCAGTAAGATACAAAAAGATGTAAAAAACGGTAATTGAGCACAATTTTTTAATGTCATTTTCAAAATAATCAGGCAATTTCACACCAGAATGGTACATTCTGAATACTGGGGGCTTTTGGTGCTTATACTGCAAATTAACCAATTTATCATTGTGGGAAATATAGACAGATACTGAATTTTTATAATGTTTTATTTTATTTAGTCATTCATATTTCAAGAGTCCCACAAGACATTCATAAAGTTAATAATGTTTTCATCACTATTTGGCAAGCAAAAATGGCTGGATACCTAGTTGACCTTTGAACTGAGATGACAGGTAATAGCAATCACTGTAAATAAATGTATTTATTATATTTTAAGCAAAATGTAATATTTTTTTGTAAATTCAGTTCAGTACTAAT